CCACAAAGACCACCCCCCACGAGCAGCCCAAACCTTCAATTACTCCAGGCCTCAAATAATACTAAACAATCCTTGGCTGGTTCTTTTCGTGATTTCCTTTCCTCTCCTTTCATTGTCCTTTCAATTTCCTTTCCTTTCCTTTCATGTTCCTTTCATTTCTTTCCCTCTCCTTTCATTGTCCTTTCAATTTCCTTTCCTTTCCTTGTCCTTTCAATTCCTTTCCTTTCCTTTCATTTTCCTTTCATTTCTTGTCCTTTCCTTCAATCTCCTTTCATTTCCTTTCATTTCCAATTCAAATCAAGATTTTCTAGGATTTTTCTGGATTTCACATTATTTGGGACCCACACTTGATCAAGGGGGAGGGGGGGGGTTTATTATTAGGAGGTGGACATTAGCACAGGTTCCCCTCTATAAACATGGGTTGTTTCGAAGGCTCCTACAATGATGTAGGGGTTGTCACTGCGCCGAGGGTCTGCACTTCTTTGGGCGCTAGGGATCCAGCCGCTGGTGGCCTACCTTTTATCGCGACCCTCGGGCTCCTGATCGGTTGGACGAAATCTGCTACTGGTTCCCTAGATAAACCAGCCGTACCTGCTCCAACCTGATTTCCGGGGGCCGACTAGTCTACATTTATGGCTAGATAACACTGGGTGGTGGTGTCAGATTGATCGACCCTTCAACCTTTACATGGAATATGTTTCAGATCGATTCTCCTGACCTATGATTTTTCGGGTGGGTTGAAAGCGCCCATAATAGGGATCCACATACCCTCTAGAAGGTGCTTGGAGACACTGTAGGCTTGGAGGGTCCAGTCGTACCTTCTCGGATGCTCATGTGATGAAACCGTTTCTTGGATTCTGAGACACACCCGTCTTGTCACACCAAGTGTCAATAAACAAACGTTCAAAACTTACGAGTAACATGGTTATCGGTTGCTTCTTCTCCTGGCGTGTCCTGGAATTCTTCGACGCACCCCCAATCACAAATTGCAAACCGCACATCAGAAAGATGTTCCTTGCTGGACCACCATGAGCAACTCCCGCGGTTTGGCGGGCCTTTCCTTGCTTGGACCAAATTCTTCTATCTCCCCAAAGGATTGTTGGACCACCAATTTCATTCATTCACTATCAATTGAAAACACCAAACCATTTGAAAGCACAAAATACCATGGAGCACCCATTTCACTCCCACCGTCTTTTCCGACGCGCATCGAACGCACCGTCACCCTCGCGGTGCCGAATCGACCCCTCGCCAAGAGCAGCCGGATCACTCGAGATGGCGCTCTTCCGCCAGCAAAGGACTCAAGCCACCCAGGTCCAGGGCCTGGAAGCCGATCAGAGAGGGGTGAGGGGGAAAAAAACGAAGTGACCACACCCAAGTTACATGGAGTTGAGTTGAGTAGTAGCTCGTCCCATGAGCAGTGCGTGAATGTGACAGGGGGATGTACAGGGGCACCCCGACTTCCTCCATGTACAGTAGCACTCCGACATGTTCTCTGCTGAATGGTGGGATGGTGATGGGCGGGATGGTGACTGGAGCAGACTCGCCTTTACAAAAGAGGGTTGTTGCACCAGGAGTCACGTTTGACCAGGTGGTTTTGTTCGTCCCATCCAGTGAGTGGATGTGACAGGGGCACCCCGATCGCCTTCATGGATAGCACCCCGTCTTGTGACTGCTGGCATTTGCACCTATTTGTTGCTTTGAGGTTCAATGAAAAACTAGTGAACACAAATTGGTGGGGTATGCGGTGTACAGGGCCGGGAAAATGGGAACTTTTGTGCCTGTTTTGATAGGGTCAAGGTGTACATACACTGGCTGCAGACTAGGCAGGACTTGTCGAAACAGCAGGCAGGCACCGGCCGTTCCTTGGAGATGTTGGCTCCAAATCAAGGTAGATGAGATATGATTAGATTAGATGAGATTCTGTGGAAGCATTAGATCCGGGAATGAAAGTCAGGTTGACGGAAGAAATCTACTGTTCAGGCTGGGGACCACCTTTAAGGCGTTTAAGGGTGCAAGTTCTCCATCTCCACAATTAATCCATGGAAAATCTCAGCCACACATCGGCGTGTATTAGAATGAGACCCTGGAAGAGAACAACACCTATGGGCGTATTGGTTGTGTTGTTTGGGGGCTCTCACTTACCATCAAAACCGAAACCCACACCTCTTCAGATGCTTCATTCCTCTTCCGCCCCGAGACATCGGCCGGCCTTGTAGGCCTCCTCGCCACTGGGGAAGAGCACGCCAGCTGGGCGGAAGCGACGGGCCTCCTGGTTCCACAGGTAGCGGACCTCGTGAGAGCCAAACGAGGCTCCGTCCGGAGAGGATGGCCGGATGGATCGATGTGTTTACCAGAAAAAATGACGAACTGAACTGAACTGGAAACGGCAGCGGTTGATCTGCCTTCAGAGATTCACAAGGCATTTTTGTGACATGTAAACAAATGCATTGGGAATGGAAAGGCCTCCTTCGTTGCTCTTCCCGGGCGCCGTAGGGGTGGTCACAACATCGGATGAAGGACCCACACGGTTCCGTTCCAAGGGTTCGCTCCGAAAGCTATAGAGGCACCTGAAAAGGGATGGTGCCAACCATGCACAAGCAAATCACACAATAGGTACTAAGATGTACCTAAGGTACTAGAATGTACATATGAATGTACTAGACATACTGCCATATACGGCAGTGGGTCAAAACCTGGAGCTCCAAACCCCCTTGGTCATTCTCTTCATTTTCGGTGATCCACCAATCGGTTGCCCGGTTCTTTCAAGACTCAAAGGCCACCCCTTCAGCATCCCGGCGCAGGTGTGCTGGTAGTAGCGGCCTGGGTCGACACCACTTCGACACGCTGGGAAGCCATATACGGATTCAAAGAACGGAGTCTTGCTGCGGATTCAGCTTCATCCGGACTCAATGATGATTTGGATCTTGACTGGGACAAAGATCTTTTGGACATGGTGAGGTCTATCATGGTCTGTCTATATGGTCTGTCTATATCTGGGCACCGAATTATTCGACATAGAAAACCATGATTCTTTTTGGGGAGATCATCTCTCGCAATTACAGTAGTTTGTTTCTCTGACAGGAAGGACGTCCGAACACTAGGTTTCCTGCTATGGCAAGGGCAATTCTTTAGGTCAAGCAGAGTTGGTTGGATGTCTTTCTGACGAATCACCTGGCAAAGAAAAACCAGATCTTCATGCACCAACTGGGGTTCCATAAAAAAGACCACTATACCACCTGTTTTGCCTGTCTTGACTGTTTTGCAGTGTTACATGCGATACATGGTGCTTCTTGTCATTCTGTAGCACAGCACGAGCAAAATCTGGCATGCAAAGGTGGACCATGCGAGGTGCTACTTTTCCCCTGCACGGCCCCGATGCTCAGGTGGACTAGATTTAGATCATACCCGGTGCTGCGCTTCTAGCCGGACATGTATAGCTTCAATGGGCTAAGCAGCTGGCAATATGTTCTGGACAATGCAGAACCATATCGTTTGCTTATCTCTTTCCTGTGTGAAACACGTTCTGGACAGAACTGACATGCTGGGGTTCTTCGCTATATCAAATAAAAATATCATGAATGCTGCCATCTATTTGGCAGGGTCTTGATGAACCTTGCTCTTCATATGGAACTGTTTTGGTGCCGGCGCAGTGAAAAAAAGGCAGCGGTCGTCTCCATCGACTCGCGTTCGCGCGTTCTCGTTCTCCCGTGCCAGAAGATCTCCGAAACAAGATACTTAGGATTTGCATGGATTTGCCAAAGGCACCGGAAAAAGAAACCAAAACAAAGAACATGTGTTTTTGCTTTTCTTTGATGTTGTTTCTATTTTTTTCAGAAGGGGATTCACCCAGTCGTTTGGTGTGGGTCAAAACTTTGTAGCCTCAACTTGGCCCTGTTCGAAAAGCAGAGATAAGAACTGACTGGTGCTTAGCAGGGAATGAGGGAATGGATCCAATAGAATGTCTATTGGGGGCTCATTCCCTTATTCCCTACTAAGCACCAGTCAGAGAAAGTAGGATAGGACGCAGATTCTGCTGTCCCCACGGTCCTGGGCTTCATTGGCTTCGAGGTCCGCGGGCGACACATTGTAACTCCCATCCATTCCCAATGAACTATGAACCATGGAAAATCCACTGGATTGTGTTGTGCTTCTCACCCCACACCCTAAACTCCGTTGAAAGGGTGAAAACGAGTAAATGACATGCAAACAGGTCCCCTTGTTGGTGGGTTCTTTCTTCTGCAACTGGAAGACCAAAGAACCCCCCAATCATCGCACACAGCCGGGCCTCCACCCTGCAAATGCCTGGGGCGGCGTGGCTACGATGGGTCGGCACTCCAAGAGAGGTTTTTCACAGCCCTTGGTCGCCCATCCGTACCACAGACCAGGGTCCGAACGTCCTGGTCTCCCTTGGCTCGGATGGCGCCCTCAGGTCCGTTCTCGTTGGCTTCGGCCAACTCAGTGGGTCGATTCGGGATGCTTTTCGTCCACTGAGGCGGAAAAGGCGATGAACACACACCATGAACCGATGACCAAACGTCGAAAAAACCAACGAACCCTAAGACCCAAAGAATGAGGAGCTTCGGGTGCATGTTGTTTGTTTGATTTCTGTTCTCATCTATACCTAGACCCGGCAAAAGACGTTATTTTTTCCGGTGGGGGCAATTTTCAGGCAAAGCTCAAAAAAACAACACAACAAGTAGGTTTGGTGTCGATGTTTGTTCCGTTCTGATCTGCGTTTATGCTTTTCACTTCTGCGTCATTTTGGCGTCATGTTTTCTATCGCGAACTTGCTGCATTTTTCTGCGTCATGTTTTCTGGCGAGACGGAAAAAACGACATCGTTTCAGGATGCAGGTATATACTTTCTTTCTCGGGTTTGGATGACTTCATATGGTTTCAATGACAGGTGTCCATTGGATGTTGCTTCTGTTTATTGTGACAACCCCAAAAACCTTCTCGTGAAAATACGAAATCCCTGAAGTCACGCACCACCCATCAAGCACGAGCCAAAGATAAAAATTCGACGCTCACAAGAACCGTAGCTAAGGCTTGTTCTTGTATGTTGAACATCGTGGAGCTGAGTGGTGTTCTACTGCGGTTCTGCTCAAAACAAATACTGTGGGAAGGAACTGCTTTTGAGATGCTCTTGAACAGGTCGCGAAATTGCAAAAGGTCTTTACTTATGCGTTCTTTCAATTGTTTCACATGAGGCACGGCAGCCTTGATTGGTTACAACTCAGTGCGTTTTTGGGGGGCGCAACTGAGTGCGCGCAGTAGATGGGCCAGTAGGCGGCACAACTCAAAATCCCGGCGCCATCCTGATTGAAATTATGTTTCTTGTATTTTCCTGAGAGCCCGGATCTCTCCGAAACTGTACTGGGTTCCACAGCTCCAGGATTTGGAGGTCGCTGATGGCTTTTCAGTGACACTATACAGCCAATGCACACGTTGCAACTTCTGATACTAGTATAACTTTTGAGAAGAGATTTCACAAGGCTTTCCACCCGATGGTGAATTGGATTTTGGTGATTTCCAAGCTCTGAACTTCTTACTTCCAGGGACAGAATTCAGGAGTCCAGAGAATTCTAAGCTTCTTGTGGGAGCAAAGAAAGCCGAAGAATCTTTGAATCACACTATACGGTCATATATAGGGTCCATGTTCAGATATCCATCGTTCTGCGTGATCACATGTGATCACTCCAAATCGGCTTAACACCGGCGGCCCCTTCTTTTCGGGGGCCTAACCGGCAATGCGACGTCCCTTCACCTCCCGCGACGGAGGCTCGGCTTCCGGACTTCACTGAAACCAACTCCAGCTGACTCAGGCCTTTCGTCTTGTCCTTTGCAATTCGAGAGTGAGTGCAGCTGAGCGAGATAGAATGAGATAGAGTGAGTGAGATCAGAACTTGGAGGTCCCAGAAGCGACCACTTCCGAAACTTCCACCCACTTCCGGGGCTTTGAATCTCTCTGTCTTCTGGGCAGGCAGGTACCCTCCACTGAGATGGTGACCCACCGTCACACAGTTCGGAACTGCATGGAACTGCTACACTCGGGCGTTCCAAACAAATCGCCCGTTCGCTCGGCGAATGGTGTGGATCAATCCACCGACCACCAGGCCGTCACCAGCCGTCACCCCCTGAGATTGATTCGGCCGCCCGGATCCACCAAAAAGCTTCGATCCGACCTCCCCGCGCCGAGGGGATGGAATTTCTCCGTGCACCCATACCAGGGGATTCACCACACGTTGGTGCAAAAGACACCTTCTTCGGGCCAGGCACCCCTCCGTCGGTCCGTCCGATGAACATTTCGGGGCAGTCCGGACCAAAAGCGCAAGCATTTGGGACTGATTCCGAGAGTTTTGCTGCAGAACAGAGAGAGAGAGAGCACGCTCTACAAAAGAACACATGGCATGTATCTATCTCCGTAAACTCTTCTGGTGTCGCATGGGTGCAGTTTTGTTTGATCCATCTTGTAAACATTTGGGGCATTGATCTTGCTGATCTGGTGGAAAACCATCTCGAACCATCAGTCTTTTGGCGAACCATCAGTCTTCTCCACTGGTTGGAGGACAAACAAGGCCAACGAACCAAGTCCGACAGACAACATTGCGTGGATCTTGGCACGCCAGTCCCCCGTGCTTGAGCTTCATTGGCCTCCCCAGCATGAACCAAACCTGGATTTGCTGTCCACGCACCGGAAAAAATCATATTTCCCAGAGCACCTCATAGGAAAAATCAAAATTGCCCTAAGCAAAACCAAGGGCATATAAGGTCCTCACGGCGATCACAATCCAGAACTACAGAACCACTGACCAAAGTGTGTCCCACCATGAGTCTCTTGTCGGTGGAGTGTCTTCTGGTCATTTTGAATGTCTTTCTCCTTGGAACCAAAGTTCGCCTTCTTCCACAAGAGGCAACCAATTGTTCCTAAAATTCAGGATGATCATGAAACAACCACCCATGAAAAGCACGTCTCCGGAGGCTCCCAATTCGTCTCAAAAGTGTTGTCGCCGTGCGCTCTCCAAACTGATTGACGTGTCCTGTTGAATAAAGGACAGGGACATTTGTTGTACAGTTTGATACGTTTGAAGTCAAGGTGAGCAAATAGGTTGTGCTGCCTCTTTGGACAAAAGAAGTCAGTAGCAGAACCTGAAAGGACCATATCACTCATGTCACGCTTTCAATGATGGAAACAGTTTTGGAATAACTCTCGTCTGACATCCGAGCACACTAAGAATTCTTGCAAGATGGGCACCTCAAATGTCTGGGCATCACTGCACAGTAGTCAGTGGTGCGTTATGACCCGGGTGCAACGTCCAGCGCCGAGGCCCCTCCCTCCGTCAAGGCTCACGAGGAAAAATTGCGATATGTGTGGCCTCAGCCTCATCGGATGCGCCCGGAAAAACGAAGCACAGGCTGGCAGTCAACAGGAGCTTTGGGGGGTGACCGGGCGAAGGTTACATCTTCCCCCTGCTGTGGAGGTCCCAAGGTTCCTAGATCTTAGTGCGGGATCTTCCATGTTGTTGAGTGATCCCATCTCCCATGATATCTACCCCTGCCTACCCTCTAGATTGGAGAGTCTGGCGGCGCTGAACAAGAAGGGTGTAAACGTTTGAAGATTTGCCTTCCACAAGAACAATCCATGGACCTCCATAGCAGGGGTCCTCAAAACCCTTTCCATTGGAGATATTGGAGGGCACACTGTTTGAACCCTTGGCCTTGAACAAGAGATCTCACACGGAAATTGCCGTTTCGACCCTCCTGTCTAGTGCAAAGGACCCATCTGGTCCCTTGGTATCTGAACCTTTTTGGTTGCCAAAATTCACAGAGTGTCTGACTTCATCAGCCTACTAACACTTTTCTGCGCTCAAGTTCTTGGTTTTTTCGACTTGTCGCTCACCCCCAAAAAACCCACGATGAGATCGACGAAAGCTCTGCTCATGCCGGCAGGGCGCCAAAGAGCTTGGTTGAAGGAAGAAGGTCTTCACCTGTCCACTGTACCTGGAGCAAACCCTGCAAACACTCCCATGATGGGCGTTTGAGGACGACCACAAAACCATCGGCTTTGTAACTTGCTCACACTGAAGATGCACACCCGCATTGTGGCTCAAAACTGGTAGCAAGGTCATTCAAGAACACATCTTTAAGGGTCACTTCAGAACACATTTTTGGGGGTCATGGGGGAACACACTTTTTAGAGTCACTTCGGAACACGCGCATGGGGTGGGGTGTGGGGGAGAAGGTAAAAAAGTTGACTGGACGGGTGGGTGATCACTTGCACACCAAAGACTCCACGAGGCTCTAAACTGCTGAAAAGGTTGCCAAAAGTGAGTCAAGCACCACATGTCAAATTCAACAGCCATGGATCACTTGATCACTTGCGCACCACGGACCTCCTTTGTGATCCGCATTTCTCTGCTATCTGAGGATTGCCATGGCTTACAGGTCTGATACGTTGCGAGTTGCGTGTGGGCGGCTTGGGGGTGACCACCGAGTGTGTGCGACCACGGGGGCCACGAGAAAGAAAAATAAGGAAGGATACGTCTATGGCGACGCTACTTATACAGCCATCATGACTCTATAACTATACTGCAACACAGGAATGCCACAACAGCATGTCACGCCTTCCAACTCCGATTGGTTGAGCCCTAGCTTCCAACGGGCAGACACACCAAGTCACCAAGTCAATGCTTCCAACTCTGGCTGACCCCTTGAAGCCAGTGGTACTAAGTGGAAATAGACCAAAACCTCTGCGCCCTGTTTAGCTACGGGGCGAGACTGACGAATCGCCCCATTAGGGTAGAAAAGGGTAAAAGAAGGGAGGGAACCGACAGACAAGTCTGCCGACGAACCCTTCCTTCTGTTACCCCATAGGTTAATGCAGGTACAGGTGGATGATCAGTCCACCCATCCCTCGATACACCAGAGCTTCGTTGCGTCAGGTAGGTGTATCGAGCCTGACGCTCTTCACTCAAAGTAGTATTCAGAAAGTCCCTTAGATACAGGGTGGGACACCAGTCGTTTTGTCTCCCCAGTCAAGGTCCGCCCATATTTTGGAAAAATGGTGTTCTCGTTGCATTGCACTGTGGTGCCCTTTTTTTGAAGATAAGGTGGACAAAATTACTCGATTTCATCATATTGTCTGAAGTTGATGTTGCACTATCCCTTGCGGCACTTTCTTTCACGCATGGTGGCACAGATCACCCCCACCCAGCACCCCACCCCACCCCAACACGTCACATAGCACATGCAGTGGCGTAGCACGTATATCTCTAAACGAACGAAAGCGCACGGCCTCTTAACAGGGGTCCCACCCAAAACTAGGGTACCATCCCATACCCCCTTGATCCCCCTTGTAGGAAGGCAAACATAGACAGTGTATGACCAGGTCACGTCCAGAACTGCAGGTTCTGACCCTGGATCTTCTTTTTTCAGTCACACACCTGGAACTCCTAGCTCCGCGCAAAATCATGCTGGGCATGGATCAAAGACCCTCCCTGCAAAGAAAAGTGGAACACGGCCCCTGGAAAAAAATCCATAACGAGATCTCGTCCTCTACAAACAGGGGATGGTCCACGAAACTAAATGCTTTGTTGGACGGGGGACAACGTGACACCACCGTGTTCCACCTCCAACCTCCGCTCTCGCTCTCGGACCCGTTCGAGCGAGCGCAGAGGGGGACCCAGTTCCCCACACGGACTGCGCTCGGACTGCTTCGCCGAGGATGCTTGGTGGTGAGGAACAGCAGCAGATGCGAGCCCACCTCGGTTCGATCACACCCGGCACAGCGACGCCTTAGGCGTCGGTTCAGATCCGCTCTCAGTGCTCTCTCTCTGGGCGTCCTGGGCTCTGGGCGTAAATGAAGATGAAGAGCTTTGACGTGGCCTCGTAGCCCAAGCCGAAGTAATTCTCCCAGGTGAGCCACGCCTGGAGCAGCTATGGTCATTCGGTTCGGCCTCTGTGCATTTGGGGATAGATGGAGATAGATGGGGAATAGCAACACTCCCCGGCCTCTTGCATTTTTTGTACATGAGAAACATGATGGAACAAACATGTCACATCTGAACTTGGATTGGCCACTCTTTGCCCTGGGCCTTGTTTTGAGCCACGGCCAGTTCAGGTTTGAGTTCCGCTGGACAGCACTCAACGAACAAATCTATCTGTGCACAAATGTCGCAAATGTTTAAGAATCTGACATATTGGGGTTCTGGCGCAATGGATGGATTTTATCCGTTGGTTCGGAGTGTTCCGGTTTAGCCCTCAGCTGATGACTATAAGTCCCATTAAAAAAAATAAAACACACACACAATACCTTCTCAGAAAGGTATGAGCAGGAAACAACGGGATCGAATGGAGGGTCCAGGTATGAACGAAGTTCATCTTCTGTTCCATTTGGACGTTCCAAGGAGTCAAGATGCAGCTGTCGCAGACTTGTGACTTGCAAGTCCATCTATACCCGGCGAGCGGGCCCGCAGGAGCACGGATATACTGACTCAAGGAAGCAAGGAACCGCGAAAGCACTAGAACGTGGAAAAGCCCAGGTGCCTTTTTAAAAAGAGTGCTTGGGACCACTGTCCAGTGACGAATATGGTACATATAAAAAATGGAACCATGTCCATTATGCAAAAAAACAGCTAAAACAAACTTTCTTCATCACTGACCTCCACCCCTCCTTGCTCCACTCCGCAATCCGCAAAAAAAAGACAAATTACTTTACTTCGAGTGGTCCCCACCATGACATTTCAATCATTTGTCTTGATGCCATAGTGAGGAGCATGTTGCCATGGTCGTTTGTATTGTAGTTCTCGATTTTGCTTGTGGGTCCTCGGGTTGTGTGCTGTGGTTGTGTGTTGTGGTTGTGGTTGTATGCTGTGGTTGTGTGCTGTGGTTGGGGTTGTGTGCTGTGGTTGTGTGTTGTGGTTGTGGTTGGTGCTGTGTTGTGGTTGTGGTTGTGTTTGTGATTAGTGATTCCGTGTTTGTGGCTGTGTGTTTGTGATTGTGTGTTTGTGGATGTGTTTGCGGTTGTGTTTGTGGCTGTGTGTTTGTGATTGTGTTTGTGGTTGTGTTTGTGGCTGTGATTGTGTGTTTGTAGTTGTGGTTGTGGTTGTGGCTGTGTGTTTTTTGATTCTGTGTTTGTGGTTGTGTTTGTGGTTGTGTTTGTGGTTGCGTGCTTGTGGTTGTGTTTGTAGCTGCGTGATTGTGGTTGTGTTTGTGGCTGAGTGATTGTGGTTGTGTTTGTGGCTGCGTGATTGTGGTTGTGTTTGTGGTTGTGTGTTTGTGGATGTGTGTTTGTGGTTGTGTTTGCAGTTGTGTGTTTGTGGTTGTGTGTTTGTGGTTGTGTTTGTGGTTGTGTTTCTGGTCGCGTGTTTGTGGTTTTGTCTTTGTGATTGTGTGTTTGTAGTTGTGGTTGTGGTTGTGTCTTTGTGATTGTGTGTTTGTAGTTGTGGTTGTGTCTTTGTGATTGTGTGTTTGTGGATGTGTGTTTGTGGTTGTGTGTTTGTGGTTGTGTGCTTGTGGTTGTGTGTTTGTGGTTGTGTGTTTGTGGTTGTGTGTTTGTGGTTGTGCTTGTGTTTGTGACTGTGTTTCTGGTCGTGTTTGTAGTTGTGCGTTTGTTGTTGAGTTTGTGGTTGTGTGTGTGGTTGTGTGTTTGTGGTTATGTGTTATTGGTTGTGTGTTTGTGGTTGTGTTTGTGGTTATGTGTTTGTAATTGTATGTTTGTCGTTATGTGTTTGTAATTGTGTGTTTGTGGTTGTGTGCTGTGGTTGAGGTCCGGCAGGGAACCCTGGGCATGGATGGTCGTGGTTGAGGTCCGGCAGGGAACACTGGGCGTGGATGGTCGTGGGTGAGGTCCGGCGGAGGAGGATGAGGAGTAGAAGGAGGCGGAGGAGGAGGAGATGGGGCTGACATAAAATCTAACAACCCTCACCTGACAGGTGGGGAAAAAAACCTCTTTGCTGCGGTGGCGCCAACTGGATCTGCGAGAACAGGGGGACCTCAGAAGTGCAAAGTCAGTCACCCTGGTACTCCCGCGGCGAGCCGAAGATCCTTGGACAAAGGTGAAGCGAATTAGTCGGAAACCCAATCCCCACAAAAGGAGACATGCAGGTGATCCACTCACCAGACAAGGAAGACTACAGCAGTTCCAAAGGAATGGTCGTCCTAAGTGAGTGGAGTAGCTGGGCACCCTGCCCTCGGATATCCTTCAGCATCCCGACATGGAACTGCTGGTACAAACTTCTGCACAACAAAGGAGATATCGTGGAATCGGGCACAGTCTCTGCCCATGATCCAACGATTCTCAATAAAACCAAAGATCCCCCTTGCTACCGACAGCAAAGGTAGATCCTCAGGATTCTACGTATTAAAATCCTACCGAACCAAGGTGACTTTCTAGCTAGTTTTTCAGTGGTGCCCTAGGGTTCTTTTTCCCAAGAGGTGCTTGTTATAAAATCCTTTGGGCCAACGTGTGTCAAGGGGTTGGGAACCAAGGAAAAAAAGGAGTGATCAAATGCTTAATTAAATCCTGGATCAAAGCATGTGTATCGAGCATCGGTCATTTATATGACGGTGGATTGTGGGTCATGTTGCTGTTGCAGTCCACTCTCTGTTGTTAGTTGGACATGGGGAAGACTAAGCAAGTGGGTTGGATGGGACAAAACATGAGGACTAAGTCTACTCCTCAGACACTCCGGACTGGACAAGACGGGACTGCCCGATACGGCCACTACGGCCCCGTCCACGGGTCGTGTTTGGACCGTGGACGGGCTATATGGCTATTCCCTGGTCATCCCTGGATGATGCTTAGGGTGTAGGCCTTTTCGCAAAAAGAGTGATCATGCTTGATCGACTGTTACAGGTCATAGGGACAATGAGGGGATTCGCCCACGAGGACAACAAAAAAGCCTCCCGTTCGGCAGAACTCAGCTTTGTGGTTGTGTTGACTGATTGAATGTTCGGAGGGAAGGATAGAGGCGGGCCAGAACCTACTATATACGTTGCTTGCCCATGCCCTAGGAGTCCTGACCCACCATTGATTCAAGTTGGAGATGTTTCCAAACATATACTCTCCCTGGAACTAACATGGTTACGTGGAGTTCGCCACCTTACAAACAGGTGGATGGAAAATGGTCTTCCTTTCGGGGCCAGGCCATCAACTTCCATGTTAGTTCCAGGGAGAGTATGATTGTTTCCACTTCATGTTAGACCGCACCACCAGGTCAACCAAAGGATACCTGTTTTGTCGGAAGGCGACCTGGTGGATACCTGGTGGTTGACCAGGTAGTCCTTAAAAGGACACCGTGGAGTCATTACTCTCCCAGAACTGTCCTACAAAGGCAGAGAAGGACTTCGTGAAGAAGAAGCCTGAGAGGCTCCTGGTTTTCCTGCGGATGGAGGCATATATACTTTGCCCGAATGTTTTGAGACACCATGAGGAACCCTGGGCATCCCTGGGGGCTCTGGCGGTCCAAGAAATGTGAGATGTGCTTCATGTATGCTGTTCTGCGACAACGATGTTCGAATGCACCTGAATCACAAGGAGCATAGATTACAGATTAGGTATGATACCACACCGCCATTAAACTCTGAATTGAAAGGCAAGTTCTTTGTTACGTCTCAAATGCTTTGGAGTCTAAGTACATTTTAACATATTTAAAAGCATGTTCTTCTTATTCAAAGGCTTTTGGGCCAGGCAGTTGGCCAGTCAGACTTGGCCAACTTTGCCTCTGATGTCCAGCTGTAGAAAATGTCTTAAATCATGAACCCCAATGGCCATCACGCTGCAATCCCCCGTTCAGAACGGAAAAATGGATGAAAACATGGCCATCATCTGCATGGGCCATCATCACACCTCTTGTGGACAGAAATCGTGTAGAGGTCCCACGACAAAACCGAAGCGGACCTTTTGTCAAATGGTTTTTAATCCAGACATGAGTTGTTCAAATGTGTTCATTGTAGTTTTCATCCTAGGTATATTCAGTAGGGAAATCCGTTCTCAGATGGTTTCAGGACCCCTTTTTTTGTGCGACCTTTCCCAAACCAAGGAGTCTCATCCTCCACAGCCATCTAATGCCCTGGGCTCCCAGCAATCATCCAAAGCACATAGAGGAAGACGCCAAAGAACCAGCGCTGGTAACCAGACTGCACCTGCGCTGACGCGGCACTGGCGTGCCGTCCAAAGCAAATCAACCTCTTCCGTCTTCCGTGCGCCGTACAAAAACAGAATAAATGTCGACCCTAGTTCAGCTCTGGTCCACAAAACAGAAAAAATCCATAGTGGAAACGTCGATCAATCATTATCAATCATCAGTGTCCAGAGGTCAGCTTGCCTTGCCAAAAACACCAAAAACACACACGCACCCTGGCGTCCGGCGCACCCAATTGGGCTCCCGTCCGCTTCGCGGTGTCCCCCGTCCGGTCGCCGGTCGCCCCGCCGTCTCCATCGTCGCACTATCGGACGTCTCATCGTCGCCGGTGGGCACCATGGAGAAGCGCCTGGCGGAGAACACAGTGACCGAAGTGGGTTCTTCACCGAGCTTGATCTCCTGGGTGGTTCGGGTGGCAAACAAACCTGTGAGTTTGGTCACAAACAGGGATTGGCAAAGTTCGGTCATTCGGACATACTTTCAAGAAGCTGGGTGATGGTCTTTAGATTGGCAGGTTCTGGGCGCCCTAGCGGTCAGCAAATAGTCAAGCAAAACGGAGTCCTGTTAGAACAATATTGGAGTGTAGTGTGTGCACCTATCGTTCGACATACAAACTGGATTAAACTGGCAGAACATCCCCGTTCAAGGATTATGATAGATCCATTGAACAGTTCCATACTTGTTGCTGTCAGTTTCCATTTTGTTCAGCCAAGCATATATATGGTTATATATATACTGTATGTAGCATATGGTTATATATGTATACATGTATGTTGCTACGTTTCTTTCAGAAAACATGCGGGGGAATGTGTTGGCTGTCGACCAACCATGAATCACTCGAGACGTGACGATTCGGTTGGTCGAGACGTTGACGAAACGGTTCACTGGTCACCGGTGGACAATTCAAAAGATGAGTTCTACCAGGAGTCACATGGAGTTGGGTGGTATTTAGTCAATTTAGTCCCATCCAGTGAGTGGATGTGACAGGGGCACCCTTAGTCTTCATTAAGCACCTTTGTGACTGCTGGTATAAGCAAGTATTTGATACTATAGCACATGGGAATGGATGTCGTGTCTCGACCCCCTGACTAGAAGTAGGCTGCAACACCACGCAAGCAACTGCGAAAAGCATGTGTCATGTGCATCCATAGGGTAAAGTAGGTCCCCAAACTGCTACTCCACACAGGGTCGAATCCTACACAAAGCCCAGCTACATCGGATTCCCTCACGTTGCGACCAACACGCGCCTGACATGGGCCCGCGACTTGGCAGCCTCTTCATCAAAGGATTCCTCCGAGTGCAGATGCAATTGCCTGGCTGTTTGCTGAGACACAACTTGTGGAGCTAGTGTTCAATAGACTGCCCTACCCTACGTAAACAGGTCTCCCACTCCAGGGCACCCGGAGGGTGCAAGTGCTAGGTATACATTGCATTTGCATTTGAAGATCGGGTGAGTTGAACATCGGGAGAGTTGAACATCGGCTTCACAACCCACATCGGCTTCACACATCTGTCACATCTGTACAACCCAGCGACCCCTGTGGCACCTGATGGTGCGCTTGCGCACAGCGATGTAGGTGAAGGTCAGGAGGAAGAGGATGAGGAAGTAAAGGAGCCACGAGATCACGAGCCAATCCAGGATCAACCGCCTGGGACGATGTTTCGGAGAAAGAAATCATGGTTCAGTGAATGGAGAATGCTTGGATAGGGCAACGTTTCTGCTGTTAAACAGTGGTTTTTCGCTTGACCTTGGTTTCAACCTATATAGTGTTTGGATGTGTTTGGTCAAGTTGGTCAACCGGGAAATTCCCAAACAGCTTCGGCCTTTGGTCACACCTTTTGTACAGTTCACGATGTTGCCACGCAGGCTTCAAAAAGTCCTCAAGTTCTTGCAGAGGGTTCTCATCAAACTGAACTTCGATTTAAATGGCCGGAAAACGCTAGATGTGAAGTAGAATTGATGAGTTGAAAGAGGTAGACAGGGAGTGAATCAGTGAGTGCGTGGAGAGTGAGACTGAAACGTGGAGCGAGTGAGGGAGGGAGGGAGGGAGGGAGCGAGTGAGTGAGTGAGTGAGTGAGCGAGTGAGGGGGTGCCAGCAGAACTTCCCATTCCCTGTAGAGCAAGCAATCATTCATAGTATGTTAAGCTTGCGGCTTAAGATGCATCAAAGATAGCAAACCCGGCAATCGCCTGCGATGCTGCAAGAGCTATGCCTTCCTACAGTTGGGTTTTGCAAGTGACTCTGCATTTTCCCAGTTTGAGCTACAACTTCAAAAGATCCCTGTAACTTCAGGCGGTGTCGGGTGTCTACGGTACTTCTGCGCAACGCCATCGAAAGGATAGCACCTGGTGAGACGGGCGGGTGCCCGCAGGAACTGCACGGGGAGACCAGCTCACGTCCGGCGGAGACCAAGCGAGGTGGGCTTCGGCTTCGAAGATGCCAGGCCTGGTGCTGAGAAGATATGCTACATAAAAATGCACCAGTGAAGTGATGTGGCGAATCCCATCAAGCCAGCCAATGCTCCGGTGAATGCCACCTGTGTACTGCTTGAATATTCGGAGCCGGTGGCATTTGGAAACCTGTCCGGTCCGCAATTGCAGATGGCCAATGAGGAGCAGCCATCAGCTAAAGTTTGCGATGTATCAGCTTCTCTGCTTCCATCAAATCTGACATAGCAAGTCTGTCCTTGGCCTCCACAGATTTCAAGGAAAAGAAGTATAAGTAGAAAAGGACAAAGTAGAATGAGTAAGTCAATGACAACGCACGTCCTCCCAAGACGGACATCGTGCACGATCCGTAGATTCTCCAGCCCCAAACACAATGTGGCCAGAAAATCCCCGAAGTTTTCGTGTTTCTCCACCTCTTGACTGGGTAGTCCCGGTGGTCTACTGCCAGTAGAACCTCGATGAGCTCCGCTATGTGTTCCTGTTCGCTCGTAAGCCCTCATCCGCCCTCGATGGACACAGCAACATGACAACGATCGAGCGTAGGGTTTCGTTGCCACGATCGTGCGGCTTATGCGGATGTCCGGCATCTCTTCGTCATCACAGGCTGGTGTTGCCATTCAAGTCAGGCACTTCTTCAACTTCGCTACGCTGCAGGCACCATGCGGCGAGTGAGACGGATGACGTAGCCCTCAACCTCAGGTTTGAGGGTCTTCTCCAGGACAAAGGAGTGACATCTTTGCCACAGTCGTCGTGACGCTCTTTTCTTTTAATGCACTGATGCACTGAGCTAGAGTCAAGCTCAACACGCTAGATAGTAGGTAGGAAAGGCTACGCGGCCATGCTTGGATCGGAGTTGTGGTGCGAGTTAGGTTCATCGTTCGGCTCTTCCTCACACAGCACAGATCCTAAAGAGAGCGGCCAAAGGGATGTTGAACCAACAAGGTCCAGCCAGGCGAAAGGCCACGGGCGTGACTTTGAAGCCAAACATGTTCGGCAGACTGTTGGACATGACAGCCAGTACGGTTGAACTATGTCGAACTCGTTTTAAGCCGAGTCAAGCCAAGCAAGTAAGAAAAATTCCTCCCGCACCGAAGGTGGTGAGAGGCGTGATACTGTTGGTGTGCATCTGTATATAGCTTTAGCAGGGAGGGGTGCTCCTGCATCATGAGGTGTGTCTGGGAGACAACTGGGGATTGGAGAAAACAGTGAAAAAACACAAGGTTTTCACATATCACTATGCGTGACTATTTTCTCATTATCATCATTATCGTATCATGTGCATCACCACATCCATGAGTCGCAAACAAACGGCTCTTCTCAACAGTCTACAGTATGTCTTGATATATCTTTCATCGTTGCATCATATGCATCAGCTGGTCGCAATTGTCTATTTTACTATATAGTAGCGTAGCATATGCGTCAGCTGGTTGCAAGTGCATAGTTAATTTGGACCCCTCAAAGTTTTACAATTTCAAAGGTCAAAACATATGTATCAAACAATGCTTGCACACAATTTGTAACTAAAGAATTTGTAAAGGGGTCCAAAGATAGAGTGATTATGAACACTTCTCTACGTATTAGTAATCCACTTCATGCTGCGTTCATCTCCAAGTCTTGCCTTGACCATGCACATTGTCTAGCTTTGTGCAAAATCACTCTGTCTTGAAAATGTCCCATGTCAAGAGGGTCGAAAAATGGATCCAACAATGCTTGCAAAGGGCAGGTGAGACATAACTTTAACATGTATCAAAGGGTCCGCTATAGATACGTCTTGTTGCCCTCTCTCTGAGAGCCACTGGCGCGGGCGGTTGTCGTCGCGAAGCGACCTGAATACTTATGCGTACGCATATAAAGGATTATAAAGGTATGTCTTTGGGGGAAAATATATATATATATATGTATATATATATATACATGCTAATCAAGAACATCAGCCTATGTCCATGAACAACCCCACACAAGCCTGACTGCCACCTGCCGCTTTATCCTTCTCTCCTCTACCCTTCGTCCCTTCACCGCCTCCAATCACGGCTGCTTCCTTCCAGCTGAAGCTGCAAGGAGTAGACGGCCAAGGACTGTCGGATCGGAATGGCACGAGCTTTACCCACTGGTCAAACCAAGGACCCCATGGTACTGGAGTTAGTTTGACAAAACACTACGAAGAAGGAGGTGAAAGGCAACCAACAGGTCAGACTGGACGTGCGTAGGGTTTATCTCGGACGACTGAGAAGGTCCCGAGCGTTGAGGCCCGATCTGTATCTTAAACAGGGAGACCTCCCAGGCAACGACACCCTGGAACAAGGGAAATAGACCAGTCTACCCAGCCAGGGCCCGGGTGTCTTCCTATTCAAACCCAGTCGTACCTGCTTTTCTTTTAGAAAAGGGCGTTTTTCCGGTGCGCGTTTTGCGCGCCTACGAAAACTGCGACTTTGGACAAGCTTTCATACAAATCAAAGAGAAGACAGCTACCAAAGAAAGGACAGCTAAGTTGGCAAGCTCCTGGCTCATGGACTAGTACCGTAAGCATGCTTGCAGTGTCCTGTCTTCCATTGGCTCTGATCCTGATGTGAGGGTGGGGGGGGGCAAAAAAAGGACATGTGCCAAAGATGAACCTCCAGGACGAATACGGAAAAAAAAAGCTGAAGATCATTGTCTTGCGCAATACAATACTGCACATATTTCGGACTAGCTTTTCCTACTCGAGCCTCCTGCGCCAGTATTTTTCCCTCCCACATATCAAGGGTGAATTGCATCAAGCTCCCATATGTCACAGGGTGAATAGCATCAAGCTCCCATCACAGAGTCCTGTTCACAAACACCCTGCATAGGAATGCCAGAAACTTGGGGCACCCATACAAGGCTCCGTTTTATGTTGGACCAATGTGGAAGTATGTGTTATGTGGTTCTCCAATGCCTTTTCTTTTTTGCTTACTGGTTTTTGATTGAACAGCGGTCTGAAGAATTTTGATTCCTTCCAACCATATATATATATATATTGATATTCAGTAGCACCAAAGTACTTTAGAAAAAGGGACAATGACCCTCTGAAAACCAGTACATGTACCAATGTTCCGAGTTACTTTGAGACTTGAGCTACTTGCCTTTATTTTCCTCTTTTTCTTTTGGAATCGGTCTTCTCCCAATTCAATGGCTCTTTGGACAGGTGTCATTTGGAGGCCACACAAAATATGCACACAAACACAAAAAGAAGCCTAACTGCTGGTTTATGATGATGGAGCCTTTTCCGCCAACCCACTCACCCGACGGGACCGACACCGAGGACAAGACGTGCAAGGAATAGGAGGGACGCAACATTCAAACCCTAAGAAATCTGGCCCTTCTCCAATGGAAAGGGTTGGGTTCGGGTCCGGACCCCTGCGAAGGTGTCGGGTCCAAGGATTCTAGTGGAAGCAGTTTGCTGAGAACTCCATGACCCCCTATCAGGCTTTTTTTGAAGGGAAGGATTCGATGATCCCCAAAAATTCCCTGACTTTGAAAAGGATTCTTCAGAAAGTGGATCCTTTCTCACCATTTCTTACCGGTGTGATCCTTCGCACCTCCCGGCGGATCCTTCGCTACGGAGCGCGGCGCTTGGAGACGTCGATCCGACCGTTGCACGGTGGGGACCGGGACGAACTCACGCGGCATGTGCAGGGGAGATGGCAGCATGTGCATGCATGAAGTTTAGGGTCTCTCTCACTGATGAAAGAGAATCCCCTTAAGAAGGATCGCGGGGCGCGCGATCGGCGAGCTTTCATGACCGGAATCCCAGGATCGCCCTGTCGCATAGCGTGCGAAGTACCGTCCAAAAGCAGGGGGGTCTCATGGGGTCTCCCAAGAGAGGTTTAGTGACCTGAAAAGGACCGATCTTTCAAGCAGCTATGCATTTTGGGGGGCCCAAATGGGCTGATTCCAAAGATGAAGAGGCAGAACTTTGGCACAGTTGGAAGATCCCCACCAGTTGGCACATTTCAGAGATTTGTCAGAACCAGTTGGCAGTTGGAGGTTTTTCGTGTGGTTTTTGGAGTTCTGAAAAACCTCTGTTGGTCCGACCTCCCTTTTTCGAGTTGGCCCAACCCTGCCATCGACCCATCGATCGAACCCAACTGGTGGCCCTGGTGCTTGCGTTTGGCACGACTAGTTTGGTGCTTTCAAGTCACTTGCAAAACTCGTCGTCAGTGGCTCCAACTACTTCCTGAGGTTCGGTGGGAACCTGAGGATATGGTTGGAGCCGTAGGGAGTACAGTGGGTTCGCATCTCAGACAAGGGTGAAAAGTACACATCTGAGAAACTGCCACCTAGACGACCACGCAGCCGCTCAGCCGCTGCAGGGCGACCAGCCTGGTGATGCCTCATAATGGTCATGGATCAGCCAAACACGCCTCCGGCGTAGTGACGTTCCCGACGTGCTTCACAGCTAAAAGAAAACACTCGGAGGAAGCTGTCCAGGAAGGCTGGGAAAGAATGACAACGTATTTCCCTGCAGCAGAGGGCAGAGGATATACCCTAAGCAAGTAATTACCGGAAAGCAGAACCCTATAGGATATACCCAGAGGATATACCCAGCTCAAGCAGAACGTGCTTACCAAAAGCTCTGCTCACCGTCTCGGTCGGTCTTCGGCCAGGCGTCACACCGGGCGGACGCAGCGAAGGCAGACCGAAGTCACAGACTATCTGGACCTGACTTCAAGTACCGAAAAGAACCATTTGACATGACCCGGCCCGGCCTTGTTGCTTGTATACGAGTTTTTGCCGGGGTACTTTGAGACTTCAGGATCTCCAGATATTGATGTGAATATGTTGGCAGAAACAAGAGAACTATATAATAAAAAGCAGTATTGAAGCATGTCGGAAAGCAGGGGAACGCAGTCAGACAATGGCCTTTGCGCCTTCAATGTGTCCAACGCCATTTGGGGAAGTTCTCGAGTTTGAGACAAGCTGAAGGAAGTAGGAGTGTCGAGCCATCTTGGACTCTTGAAGCGAACCCTGACACTGAGCAACAAAGCAGAATACTAGCATATCAATATTAAAAGACTTTCAACCCACTGAAACGCTAGTCTTGTCGGTGTTGTTTGAGAAAGAGGCGAGACTTTCGTTGGCGTCTTGAGATCAGGGCCCCCCCTTTCTACCCACAAACCCGCGGGTGCATGCGGGTCCGGTCAAAGCATAAACCAGCCCATCTGAAGAAAAACGGACTTCAATCAGTCAGCCTGCCAGAGGGCAGGGTGCCCGCTATCCACTCAGTTAGAGACCAAAAAACCATTCCTGTGGAACTGCTGGTAGAGAGGCTGATTGAACTTCTTGGAGGGTGCTGGATCTAGCCTTCAGAACAAAGCTGTACTATAGATAGATGCAAAGCTTAGAGATGCAGACCACACAGGCCCAACCGGCACAGGATGCTTCTGATCAGAATGTGCATATCTGTGCTTGCGAAGAGAGTACTCATACTTCTGACACACCCAGACTAAGAAACCACGGCAAAAACTGCCTTCATAAGCCAAGCCAACCGACCGAGCGAGCGGTCCAACCGTCACGTGGCGGCGCATGGGAAAATCTCGTGCTGCTCAGGCCGGGCCTCGTGGCAACATGTAAATGGTGTGAAGTCGTCAGACCTCAGGCGGAAGCTTCGGAGACTGGAGGACTGGAGCGGGCCAAAAAATATTAAGTGGCCTGAACATGTTCACCTGTGTCCTGAGGTAGCTATGGGATAGTCGAACTAGGGTTCTTCAACCTCTGTTGGTGGGGTTGCAATGTGTAAATGCTGAGCAGTGGGGCTGAGGGCGGGAGGGCATGGCAGGCTGATGCCCGTTTGGGCCTTTTTGCCTTTTTGAGGGAGGGTATGGTATGGTCGATGAAGGTGAAGAACTAAAAGAATGATTCATCCAATGACCTGTGACAAAGAGCAGGGCATAGGGTGACAGGGAGTGTCCAGGTTCGGTGCCAGGACTGAAAATGATGAAGACGTCTATGGAACCCTTGACATGTGACTGTGAGTGAAAACCTGGAGCCCTAAACCCTCCTGGGTTGACCTCTCAATGGTTGATTCTGTTCATTGTCTGTGTTCAACCAAGGTCTCCCGGCGTTGACCCATTGACATGTCTTTCTGTCTTGTGCAAAAGTCCCCATCTAGCCGTGACTTTCGACTTCACTTGCCAGGTTTTTCCTCTGCGTGATGGTCTACGGGATCCTCCTTTGAGGGGATAGCCAGCTAACAAAACAAAGGCACTCCTCGGGCAGCTACATGCCTCACTGATGCCCTGTGGGTCCCGCGGGTAAACTTAGGAAGAAAAGTGCTAGCGGTTTCACCTCCTATCAACGCGGCTGCTTTGAAACTCCGCGCCGCTGGTCACAGCTTAAGCTCGGCTGGTGGTGGGCTTCATGGATGCAACTCACTCCGAATTCATGCAACCTGTAATTCACGGACTCCCTTCAAGATGGTGCAGAGCTTTATCCATGAGCAAGGTCTATTATATAATCAACACTGAACACCTCGGCTGCGCTTTAGTTCAATCATAACACCGGTGTTTCTTGGATGGGTCTATACTTCTGCTGTTTCATCGTAGCTCGCAGTAGAGAAATCGACTCATTAGACCTTCCAATGCTTCCAAGACATCCTTGTCATTCCTTGTCAACACCTTTAAGCCGGCTTCATCGTATCAGATTTCGCTGTGGGTCAAAACCCTCTGACCACTTGACCGACCCAGTTTTTCCCTACCTACCGTAGATGGACGAAATATTCAAACCCTTCAAACCGCTTGGACCCCTTCTACCCCCAAACTCAAAGTTAGTGAGCCTGCCAGAGTGTTTCGGCGAATGGACGAAACAAATCAAACCCTGGCAACACAAATCAATGAAGTCGTGTTCAACATTGACCTTTGGGGGTCGGGGGTTGGTGACAGTCATCAACTGAGGGGTTTGAATATTTGGTCCATCTACTCTGGTGTTGGTCAAACTGGCTCGCTACATGGTGGACTGGTCGGGCGAAGATGGTGGGTCACGTTTCAAGAGCCGCCCGAAACACGCCAGTCACAACGCCTGACAAACCCAATTCTCCAGAAAGCACTGGACTTTGCTGTAGACAAAATGCACAAAGCAAGAATGCGAACAAAGCAATGAGAAAGTGTTTCCCTACCTTCCAGATAAGAATATATCTAAGACCTTCAAACTTGAAGATGTCCAGCCAAAAAGGGATGCCGGGAGCAGGTGGATTCTCCTGCTTACACACTGCATGACGGCATGACCTCCAAAACCATCCACCCGAGCCGAGCGGGACTGCGGACTGAGCCGAGCGGCTACAGGATCCTCGACGCGCTGCGGGACCCAAGATTAGAGCCAAACTGGCTGAGGATGGAGATCAAAATCAATCACTCACTGATCATCATGCCTGGGCCCGAAAGGCCTCCAGATGCTGCAATGCAACGGTTGCGAACAGCTAACACAAGTAGCGTGCAAGTGCGAGTCGAAGACAGCACTCGCAAGGAGCTCCATTCTGCCAGCTGGCATTTTGAGACCCAGTTGGCTGCTGGTACTCCTCGTGGATTGGACATGGGGCATGGACTTCATCGGGTCCAAAAGATGTGGAGAGCAAAGATGAAATCCGAAGAGAACCTCAAAACCCCCAGGTTACGCTGCAAATGGCTGAGGTATTCAGTGTTTAGAGGGACATGCACCCCAAAAAGAATTACATACAGGTTCGCCCAAAATATGCGGGTCCATTCATGCTGCCGGTCCAGCTTGCCAAGAGGTACAAGTAGAGAATTCCCATGAACCTTCGTTGGCCCGTCGAATTCGATCCCTCTTTCCGAAGTGCTACTTTTTTGCTGAAAGACTTCCTGACCTTCTCAATTGGTTGCTCACCGTGCCCTGTGACCAATCACGCGCCTTGTTTCATGCATCTCTGAGCCGCCCAAAAGATCTCTACAACCAGTGGAGCTTCACTCCGTGCTGGAGCTTCAAATAGAGCGCGCGCGAATTGGGATCTTTTGATCCTTGAGAGGGTCAAAAGCTATGGTCATCATCTTGGAGTAGAAACAGGAAGGTGGGAGTCTGATCTGGTGACAATCCACATCTAAATGGTGCGTGCCAAAAGACTGTATATGACTTATGCTGTATTTGTTCGAGATCATGCAGGTCCTATAAACATGTTTTTTCTACTCCACAATGGTTCTATACTATACCCCCTCAACATTCGTGGCACAAATACCCCAGTGAACAACTGGCTTCGTGCCACTTGTGAGGCAGGTATGATCGCAAGGGCAATGTTTATCCCTTCGCCGTGAAGTTCCAAGTACAAAAGGGACACGGAAAGCTCCCAAGTTCCATGCAACAAGCTCGATTGAACAAGCTACGGTCGTACTGTGCAAACGAAAAACCGAGTACTATGGGCCAATGACTATTATATTGCGGGTGAGGTTGCGGAGTTCTTGTTGGTTCTGATCTGCCATGAAATACCGTTCCACTAGCATCGCCCAAGGTTTAACTTCAGAAAGGTAGAAGATAAGACAACGTGTGTGTGTGTGTGGGTATACGTCGTGGAGTACTCCTTCAACGGGCAAGAAAGTATGTTCAACCCAGTGATGAGAAAAATTGAGGGGTTGGTTTGGTACAATTTGCCTATTGGTTGCCCCCGTTAATCAACCAACCAATTGTAAAAGTTCAACCTGCAGTGACTGGGTCTCCTGACGGTCGTTGGAATCTCCTCAGCCAAGATGCTTCTTCTTCTGCTCAGCAAGAACGACCAGAAGCTCTGTGGCCCCCCTGGGTGAAGAGAGAGGTAAAGAGCCGCACCAAACATATTAGCATCACTGCATATCAAATACGTATTTATATATTATTATATGATGCAAATTGTGGATGTTGACTTTTAGTTTGTTTGATGCTTTTTGTACTGCAGCAACAGAAGTGAAACAAATCAAAGTAGTACGTACGAATAAGGAACATCAATTGCATTTAATATACTATGGTTTTAAAAAGACAGAGTGCAGTGTACCTCTATACTTAGACACTGTACCTCCATGGAAAGGATCGGACAAACAACCATGGCTTGTAAGATCCTGTACAACCGGCCGCCGTCTTTATGCCGATCTTACTTCTTAGCCCGAAGACATGTTAGAACCAGGCTGCCAGAACCCTGATAAGAACTTACACGTACCTGTCCATCAACAGTATCTTGCGAAGCATAGGATCGATTTGAAAGGTGCCAAAGTTCGTTCATTCGAGTGATCTAAGGCACATGCCGGCTCACGCTCCCGGTGTCAAATTGCTGCTTATTTTAACGAGGCACCTCAACCAAGCAGTATTCATCGAAATACATGTGCCTTTTCCTGTGATCTGATGAAGAAAGGTCCTGATACCCACCCACCGAAACGGAATCTTCAGATACAAAACCATCCCAAGATAGACTAGACCTGCATGGTCCTGATGATCCTGCAACACCTGCTTCTTCATCCCACTTTTCCGGTACTTGTCGAGACACATGTCTGACACGTCAACCCCTCCGATGCTGATGATCTTCCAGCCCACCTGGACGAAAGCGTCTGGCGAGTGTCGCCCGAAATGTGTTGGCATCTCGTCGCTGTGAGGCTTCAACAAAAAGACCTCGCAAATACCCAGACCATCCTTGGGACTGGAAGAGTTACCTACAAACCCCATGCTCAAAATGACCCCAATGACCCCAAAAGAGTTACCAGGTCATTTGGGGTCATTTGGGGTCATTGGGGTGTTCATGTCATGCAACTGATCTCCAGTCCCCGTGGATGGTCTGAGCGATAGATTTGCTCCACCAAAACGCAGAACAGGACGTCCTATTCCCCCCAAAAGGGGAGTACTCATGCAGTTCGCAAACATATATCGCCCTAGCCCTAGCTATCATGGAGGCTATTAAATGTCAAGTCCCTTTCAAGGGTAATGTTTGTAACCGCTCCCATCATCTACTTGTTACTTGTGGACATCTACAACAAACAACCGGGGCAGCCATCCAGTTGGCTTCGAAGTTCATGTCCCATAGTTGCCATCAGGCAGAACGCAACAAAAAAGATGGGGCTTTGGTAGCGGGCAAAATCCATGAAAAGAGTGCATAGAAAAATCATCAGTGACGTTCTACTTGGAGGATTCCATCCGGATAACTTGCTGAAGTGCTGAAGAAGCCCATGGTGGTGACCCATCTATAATATATATAGTTCTCCAAAGTCGAACCCCCAATGGGCCAGAAGAACGGAGATCAAAGATCTCTTCATGTAGAGGGTCGAGAAAGTCGGATCTCTGGCAAAAGAAAAGCCAACTGATCTCCTGACCCATGCCTCCACGCCTCCTGATCTCTGACTGACACTTTGGTCTATCTCTGAATACCGATGTGACGGCCACACCCGGCACATTCGGGCCGGCTCCCGTCGCCTGGACGCCGAGCTGTTCGGCGTAGCTCTCGGGCTTCACTCCCCTCACGGAGCGTGGATCCAGACGATGGGCGAATCCCGGGCATTGAGTCTAAGAGATTCAGAACTTAAATGACTTGACTTAGGGCATATGTGACTGATTCATGTATCCCTGGATATGCAGGGCATCAATGACTTGATTTAGCAGTCTACTTCGATTCGTGTGTTGGACACAGGAAAGGTTCCTCCCCTACCATGCTTGGATCAGACCATCTTGGCTACGAAGCCACCAGCGCCACCAGCGGCCAGCCACCATCTCTTCCCATCTGGGATGCCCGCGCTTCACCGTGAGGGGCTTCTGCTTGCTGAGATCAAAACCAATGGGAAAGGCGAAGAAGAAGACATCCTGGGCCAATTTGGTTCGGCCGAAAGTCCGCTTTCAGTGTCCGGGAAGAAACGCCTCCTCTCAGAGGATCCTGCGTGGTGTGACCGGTGTGACTGACTTTTATAGATACGGACGAAGACGTGAGGTATCTTGTTCGAAGCAAGGAGGAGGAAAAGAAACAGCTCCAATGATGGCTGCTTTCGGTCTTCGGTGTGCGGCCCAAACAGCTCCAATGATGGCCTAGCCTAGCCGTTCGGGAGTACTGTTGAGGGTCTTCAGATCGCTGAGAGACTTCGAGACTTGGATGAGACTATACCAGAAGTCACAAGACGGGGAACCAAGGACAGACGTCCTGAAAGGCATCCATTTCTGAACCCATCATGTCTCACCAGCATTTTCACCTAGGAGTTACCAGGAGTCACATGGAGGCCAGGCTGGTTTTCTTCGTCCCATCCAGGGCTGCGAAAGTGGATGTGACGTGAGTGGATGTGGCACCCCTATCCTTCCTCCATGGAGTCCGCACCCCGAGCTCTGTGACTGCTGGTACACACTGCTCTGTGAATGATTTCGGAAGTGGAATTTTCTGGAGACCCACTTGGCTGTTAGAGGAAGATGGCAATCCAAGGGGCCATGCCATCCACTGATATGATCTGAGAATGATCAGCCAATGAGTCGCATGAGTTCAGTGAAGATGATGATGTGCTGCCCAGAAAGTCGCAAAACAAACATTGGGGGCCACGTATATGAGATTTAAACATCAATTTTGATTGTAACAGTTGTGTGAACATCCCCAACCGTGCTGTCTAACAAGCTTCACCTAAACAAGGGACCAGAGTTGATACTTTTGTGCTACCTCAAATAGGCCTTCGACTGAAGCCTGACACCGGCACGGAAGGTGGAGTGGGAGGGGACGCGTCGGACGATGGGGATCCAACAAGCAGGTGCTGAGATGGGAGATTGCCGATGGTTTTAGGATTCCAGTGGCCCGCCATTGTTTTCAGATGTGTTGGGACTCTGGGACTTTACCAAAGAACCATCATGGTTTTACTAGGGATTTTAGACTACAGCGCAAGGTCAACCTTTTTGGGGGGGGGTTCTTGGGGGCGAACGGCGTGTTTGGTCTCCTATGGTTGTCACAGTCGTCACATGTGTCGTCATTGGTCGTAAGGACACTTCACGTAAACGACATGTGTTCATGTGAATTCATGTGATATGTCTTTCATGGATTCTCATCAAGGTGTCCAACAGTTCTGTCAGAACCACGGCCAGAACCGCCAGTCAGAACTCCCTCCGCTGCTTTCGATGGCTTTCTTCGGCCAGAACGGACGGCACGCCCGGCCTCAAAGGACTCGTCCTCCTTCTGAAAGCAGATTGGCAGCAGAGGCACCTCCTCGTCCGCCTCACATCGGACAGGTCTGTGATGTCACGAGGGGAGACGAGCCACGGCTGGGAGTCCAAAGGGGAGGTTGGCACCGGTTTTTTCTTTCAAAGTCACAGCTTCGCCTGCTGAAGGAGGCCACCTCCATGGGAATTAGAGAATCTCGAAAGAGTGCGTGAGATTTGGGTGTGTATTTTAATATCCCTAGGGCTCCAACCACCTCCTCAGAAGGTGGATGGGGTGGATTTGGGGGTTCTAACCACCTTCTGAGGATATGGTTGGAGCCCTAGGCTATATACATAGGCGACACACAACCAATGGGTAGACTGGTCTATTTCTTCTTGCGCAGGAGATCTTTGGGAGGTTTTTCCTATTTCATGACACACCCATTTTGATGGATGAGAATGTCCGACTTTCACTGAATTGTGAACTAAAAAAGAACCACAACACAAACATCAAAATTTTGGAACTCCACCCTGTTGATGGACAGATCTGATCCTACCCCTACTGGAAGTCAGATTTCAAGAAATCAATCGACAACCGCATTTTAGGTTCAGAATGAATGGGTTCAGGTTGCTTCCATCCTCAATCGTGCCTTCAAAACCCTTAAAACATTGCGATGTCTGAACAATCCTTCCAATACTCGCTGCTGGTTCTTCCACTGCGAGCATGACAAAGGCAGAACCTGCTGTCTGTGTTCTATGAAACAACCTGTCGGACTCCCCCCTGTTTGGGGAGTACTAAAGCCCATTGGCGCCAGGCTTTTGGGATTTGAAAGAGACAAGTCAATCATCCTAGCTCGGATGCTTGAGGATGAATGCAAGGATTCATGCCGCAAAATCATGCAACATCCCGCAAAAGAAAACTAAAATGAAAACTACTCAATAAATACATATCTATATTATGTATTACAATAATAAATAGTATATATAATACTATATAATACAGTTGGCAACTACTCAAACTGAACAATAACAAGCTTATGAACAGGAACCTCCATGTTCGCGCCGTCTTCGTCGTTTTCCCCCCCCCTTTCAGCGCACACCTCTTCCTCCTGGGGGTCGGCCACCACCTCTGGCACTGGCTCAGGCTGCGGACCCTCCGACACCTGTGCGGCCTCAGGGCAGATTGCTTCCTTTCCCCAAACCGGATCCACAAATGATGTTGGTTCCCCAACTGGAGCCAGGTGGATTCCAAACTCCGGCAAACAAACATAGTCTCTCAACCGCTCTTCTCTAGATGAGGTAACTTCGCCTAATACAGACCTCCCTAATTGTAGAACACTCCACCACAAACCCATCCTGGGCAAACCTCCTTCTTTTGGAGCCTTGCATTTGCTTTGGTGCACCCTTGGACCCTCCGACCAACGCTCCAAGATGTTCTTCCCCACACCGCCGCTTCGCCCCTCCCTCGCCTCCCACGGCGCCTCCCGCGACGTCTGCTGCGGCGCCTCCCGCGAGGTCTCCAGCGGCGGCGCGTGCGGCGGCGACGAATTGGACGAGGCCACAGGGATCGCCGCGCTGACGGGGCTCTGCTCAGGCGACCTCTGTGGCCGCGCGGGCGCCTTGGCCGCCGGGTCGGCGTCGCCGTCGTACTTCACAAGCCACTGCACCTGCCGGTGGAAGTGTCTTCCAAATGTAAAGCCTGCTTGGCCTGAGTATGAAGTCTGTTGTCCTTATCTACAGGAGTCCTTCCAGCAGTCCTTACAGGTCTCCCTACAGGACCCTGGAAGGGATAATAAAGCAGTCTTTGTAAGAGTCCGAAAATACAGCGTTCACGTGCTCCACAGGCGGGCTCCGGGTGCAGTCCAGCCCACGGGCCGAGCTCTCGTGGCCCGCCGCAGCATCTGTGCGCTTAGCTGCTGGAAAGTGCGACACTTCATCGGCGAGCACCGGCACCCAAGAGAGGTTAAGTGACCTTATAGGACCCTACTGGGGTATCGGATACAGTACTTATATAGGGTTCTTCAACCGTTGGACCGCAGTGTCGACAGGTCCTTGACAGCGAACTTTCCCCGTCCGACGGTGCCCACGCAGAGACAGTGTGACGGAGTGAAGCCACGAGCCCAGCGCAGTTCCACGTCGCCACGCTGTGGTCGACCGGATGGAACAGCCCTGCCCAGCTCCCGAGAGGTCCTCCACCTGTGCGTGTGCCTGCACTCCAGCCACGAATAGGCCAGCCCTTGCTGGCACCTGGTTTGCTCAGCCGCCTGGGCTGTTGAAGCCAAAATGTGAAACCTATAGAAAGACTTTAGAAAGGAGCACCCACTTGCAGGTGCCTGCTGCATGAAGCAGCAGGTTGTGAGGCCAGCTGACATGCCTGGTAGTCCTCATGACCATGCTGGGAAGACTTCCTGGACCGTTCACGAAGCAACTGCAGGAACCTGGCCGCTGCTGCACTTGAACCACTAACTTCTGCAGCAGCTGCGTTCCCTGCCGCTGCTGCGATGAGATTCGCTATGTTCATCGTCAGAAGACAAATCACGGAGCTTTGAAAGCAACTTGACTGACTTGACGGCAGTGGCAGGAAATCAATCCCCCCAAACGTTTTGCAGGTTGTCCACTTTTAACTGGGATAGGTCTTTTTGGAGCCTCTTCACTTGTACATATGGATCCCATGGGCTATGGAGTCCATAAAGTCGATTCCTGTGGCTGTTCTTTGCCATCTGAGCCAATCCTGAAGCCAAAGCTACATCGACGTCCTTCACCTCAAACGAAGTGGAATTTTCGAAGACCCAAGCTCCGCAGGACCTCTGCAGCCTTTCCCCCGTGTTCCACCCGTGTTCCACCCCCCCGACCCTGGTGTTCCCTCCGTTTCTGGTTTCCAGCGCCTCGTGCTGCGGGACATGTCCCCCGGGCATGCTCACCTCACTGGGCGGGCGTAAGCCCTCGTTGGAGTCCACGTCCTGCGTAGGCCGCGCGATCCCGCGTCGTGCGACCTCGCCGGTAGACCCGAAACGATATCCCGACGACGGACGATGTCTGGGACTGGAAGAGTTAGACCGCTCGATTGCGGTCATAAATTCGGTACACTTGGATATCAATTCACTTGGATGTGCTTAAGGAACCGGAATAAAATCATAGGATTTGCCCACGAGGGAAAATAAGAAATCACCTGATCCGCATGGCATCAGAAAAAAAAAGTCCCACGGATGGTCTGCGAGCCACGCAGAGAAGCGACTTCAAGAGCACATGTTCGGGTCTACGAACACGCGCGTGTTCGGGTCTACGAACGATCGGGCCCATATGCTTTCTTTGGGATAACAGTTTCCTCCAGCTTCCCCTGCCCAAGACTCACATTGAGCCGTGAAAGGGTCCGTCTATGGTCGATTTTCTGGCGCACCTCGCCGATCTTGCTGGGAGGTTGAAGCAGTTGCTGCTGATGCCGTGCTTCTTGAAAACATATCCTTAGTCGAGCTTTCGATTCGTCACATGGAGCAGACTCTGCAGACTCGACTCTTGTTCATTCTCTTTCTCACCTCCCGTCCACATGGATAATAGCAGTAGCTCTGTAAAGCCTGGGGGAAGGCTTTACTATATATAATCAACCGTCTAACTGACGGTGGGACCATCCTTGGCCACCATCCTTGGCGACCTTTGGGTGAACCGGACGCCCAAAACACGGTGAATCGGAGGAGACGACCTGAGCTGAGGCGGTACTGAGGAGACTTCTTTGGAACATCTTCCCACTCAGTTCTACCATGTTCTACCCTCCAACATGTGTTTGATGGTGTTTATTTAAAGCACTCTGTTGCTTGGTGCGACCATTCGTGCCTTTTGTCCCATGACCATCCGTGCCGCACATTCTATCGATGAGAAGTCAGAGATCTTCTGGGTACAGGGTCCACCAGGTCCACAGGGTGTGTTCCATCCACAGGATGGATGTATAATGATGTATATATGAAATGAGATGAACCAGCAGTCACATGGAGTTGGGTGGTGTTTAGTCCCATCCAGTGAGTGGATGTGACAGGGGCACCCCGACTTCATCCAAGTTCGGAACCCCGTCTTGTGACTGCTGGAATGTGTGTGTTTTCCCCTGAAACATCTGCAACCCGGGGTCGACTCGAAGTTCTGAGACGAAGATACTGAGGCTCTTCTGAGCTGAAGATACTGAGGCATCGATCCCCAAGGCTTTGTGAATCAAGTTTTCGGAGACTAGCAGTGAATATAGTAGTGAATATAGTAGTGACTAGTAGTCTGAGAGGCTTGTGCACACTGATTTGATGTTCAAACCGCCGCTCGGATTGGCAGTCCCTGAGAAAGGACAACCTCAGGGGTTACAGGCCATGATCCACAAACCTCAAGCAGAACTAGCCACTATATCTGGAGTTGTCTGAGAACTCGTGTCTTGCTCTTTCTCACGACGACTAATATATGTTCTATCCCTGCTATTTCACATCTCCAAAGACTTCATCAGTACCATCCATTGAGATTCAGCAAATGTCGATCTTAATCAGCAGACCCGTGGATTCAGCAACACATCACATGTTTTATACATACTTCGTGACGAGGCTTTTGCCCACTGGGCCCAGCTGGTTTGGGATCAAACCATGGACCAAAAGACCATCAGGTCGCACTGACATCCAGGTCGCACTGAGTGCCACCATCCTGACACCCCCGAACTCACCCACCGACCTCAAAAACGCCCAACCCGCTACCCGCCAGGTGTCTCCGAGCGCTGAGAGTACTGGGAGGAACGCCGGAACTCCGCCACCTCCGCCGCCTGTGGAGCTGGAGGCCGGGCGACGACCGTTCGGTGCGTTCCAACAATGGTGGTTTGGGATTCAGGCTATTGAATCAATGGTGGGCGACTGGAAGCCTATAGGGGAATTGCAGACGGAGAAGATTTGCAAGGTGTCCAACTCGATTTCCGCAAGGATTGTTGGGGTGGTGTCTTTTCTGCCAGTCATTCCAAGATATTCCAAGTATGGACGATTCCCGGGAACATCTGGAGAGCGAGTTTTCACTGATGGACCATATAATATATCAAGATCCGGATTCTACCAAAACGCGACCCGAGACCTACGTGCTGTGGAAGATCTACTTGCTGTGCCCACACCAATGTCTGCACTATATAAGTGCACAGGGTTTGGAGGATCCAAGGGCTGCATCAAAGCCGAAGTGTGCACCGAAGGCGAAGAGCAGACCTGTGGCGAAGGGCAAACCCAAAGCAGCAAAGAGGGCAGCAGCAAAGAGCCGCTCAAAGAAGAAGGTTGATGAGGAACCCAAGGAGCTCAATATGGGCTACAACCAAGTATACAGCAGGGTCTATCGCCAACACCTGCGACAAGGCCAATGTTTGGATGAGGTCAAAGCAGCGCGTGAAGCTGCTGGGCCTTAGAAAGCCTGATGCTACAAGACGCATCTAAGGGTGTGGTGCGCGCAGAAAAAGCTCAGGGCCCATGTGCACATGTGCAGGGACATGATGGGACATGGAAAGTGTTCAGGGAAGTGCTGTTTACTCTTGGGTCAAGTGTTGGATAGGGTGGGTGAGTCTTATCTCTGATCAGATGTAGTTCCAAATGTTCAGATCTGTTGAATTTGATATACGCATTTGAACATTTCGAAACAAAACCATTGTTGAAAAAACATAAATTGCCTAGTGCTCCTGGCCCACATTCGAAAAGGTTTGGTGGTTGGGGTGGGGTCCCAGCGGGGGACAGCCTCCCTACCTTCGGCTCTAGCTGAGGTATGGGGATGTTGAGTGTCAGATTCTTCAAGGGCATGTGCTCTCTAAAGCCGTCCATGATCCATGAAATTACACTCCAACTAACATATGGAGAATGGCACCCTCAGGAAAGCACTGCTTTCCACTATAGACCAGCGGTTTTCAGGGTCCACGTTAGTCTCAAAAGCGGTGATTCCTTGCTTCGATGATTGCACGCGACATATTTGAGGATCCATGAGCCTTTGGGCACGTCACATTGGGCATACTCAACAACTGTAACTTCACGGCCACCACCTTTTGCGCCAAATTATCCAACGACCCGACTCCCACCCCCTCGCGAAGGACCAACCGAGGTCCCCGGTCCACGCCTTCGGCATGGACTGCCGTGGCGAGGGGTCATCCGGTTGATGTCGAGCTGAATGCCGGTGACGAACGCTCGACCGCCGTGGGCGTTGGGCGTTGCGGCGCGGTGAAGACCGTTTGGTGGGTCAAGGCACGTGGAGAAGTTTCCGGTGGAGTCTAGGACCATCCATCCACTTCTTCCGTGCGTTTTTTGGGGGGGTTCAAAGAAGGGTCCGAGCGTCCAAATTCCACTAGGGGGCTTGGTTTACAAACTGAGGTTTTGGAGGAGAAGGGAGAGAACTCAGCTGCAACTGAGATGTAGAACTCCACCATTTGTTTGGCCAGTGGGTGGGTTTATTGGGGAGCGCGAAGCGCCTTCAGCGCAGTTCTGCGCGTTCAGAGGACAGCCCCACCAGGCCCGAGTTCATTCACACCAAACGCTTTGTTCAAAGAAACTTAATGATGCAGCATTGCAGCATCGATATACAGGCATTAATTCATCATTACGTTCATCATCATATAATTGTTATATATAGATGCTTGGAAGAAGCTCCCTTTGGCTTCTCTTCTCAGTCCTTCCCTCAGCCCTTCCCTCCATGCCCTTGACTACTGTGCTATCCTTGCCCATCCATCACGGGCCCCCAAAACATCTGTAGACCCTGACTCGCCTTAAATGGAAGTGGAGTTCATCCCCTGTTTCTAGAGGAAGGGGATCTTGGCAAGTGACACCATGCCGTCCACTTCCATGCACAGCACTCCTGTTCTTACTTCGTCAGTGTCTTACCATGTCTTACTTTCAAAAAGAACTCCAGAACTCCTCAATGTCCCAACCACTTCTTAGTTGTTTTCAGGATCTCACTTGCCCATCAGAACGGAACCACACTGGAACCACCAACCACCTTCTGTCTGTTTCTGGGCTTCGGCTTGGTCGAGACCGCTCGACCGCTCGACCGCTCATCGTCCTCCTCGGTCGCACGAGGCCTATCCGGTCCAAAGCCGCATCCAGCTGCTCGTCGCGCTTCAGGAGATCCGCCGCTGTGGGCTCCGGGCGACGCCTAGAGGAGACAGAGAGGAGACACGAGACACGCGACACGCGATGCTGGCTCCGGTGTCCGGAGGACGGGGGTGAAAAAAGGTGTAGTCAATGTATAGTATAGTATGTAAAAAAGTAGTCCATACTATAGTCAATGTCAGAGTTATTTGAGAGGGGGAGTGCTTGGGAGAGCACACACTAGCTTTAAAAAATATCAAAAACACATGTTCCTGTGTCCAATCTCCATGTGCAAGGTCAATTAGAAAAACTAGCTCTTCGTCTGCCCACTATCAATGTGTAACACCAATGATAAGCATTCTCAGTTTGACTCTTCTTTGTCCAATATCAATAACTGTTTGGTCATGTGTATTCATTTCTTCTCAATATCGGCCAAAGCTGTTTGGCTTTGAATCTTGAAATCTGAACGGTTTAGATGGAATACAACAAAAACAAGACCAAAAGAAAGTCAAATACCAAAAAGACATAAAGAAAAAACACAAACATAAAACAACAACAATGCTTGAGATAAAATGAGGTTACTGTAGGATTTGGATTGATTAATTCCTTTGTTGGTTTTTGGTCTTGCCTTCATTGTGTCTCAAACATGTTTTGTTGTTTGTGTTTTTGTTGGTTCTTGTTGTTGTGTGTTAACTATGTTGTTTGTTGTGTTTTGTTTTCTTTGGTACAGTATTCCCTCTAAACCTTTGTAGGCCTGGTCTGAACAAATTGAAGCAAAACAAATCAAAACCTGGGTGTTAGTAATGTTTCAGCTAAACAACACTGTAAACCACAGTGTTTTTGCACATGTGTTGCACAAAAATAAATCCCAGGAGCACCCGTTCTGATTTTTTTGGCGACCCTCCGTCTCCATTTATACATTCTTTGAGCCATGAACCCTCATGATTGAGAATGGCTCAAAGATGTATCTTCAGATCTTTGATGTTATGAATTTCTACATGTTCAGATCTCTTGAAATGCGCATCTTGAACATCTGGAAACACAACCGATTGTTGAGAACAAGGGGGCTCCCCACACCTCCTGGCGACCACATCTTTGGGTGAGTGAGTGTGTGCCGAGCAGCCAGGAGCGCCCTAGAGCTGCACCGGACGCTTCGACCAAAACGCTGACCCTTCGTTTGATTTCGAATCCAGGTCAATGGGAGGCTGCAAGGCTTTGGGTCCGGTTCTGCCCTTTCGGTGCGTTCGATCTTCCCCGGCGGCCAGTTCTTCCGTTCGGAGATCGTTTCGGCCCTGGGATCGAGTCGAGGGACAAGGGCTGGTCCGGTCGCCACACCAGAACCTGCGTGGCGACGCGTCGCGACCCGTCGCGGTGCGGTTGCGGCCGCAACCGAGCAGAGAAGAGCGGTGCACTTGGAAGGACCGACGTTGTACTGAAGGCAGACCATGTGAGTACTGAAGAGTTTACTTTGAAAAGAAGGGTGTGAAAGTCAGGCAGGCTCAGTTTGAGAACTCATATAAAACATGCTGCAGTTCTTTCAGGCTCTCTCTCTCTCTCTCTTAGTACTTCGATGACCATGCTGGATCCTCCAGGAATCTCTCTCACCCACGTCGTCGACTTCGCCGAAGGGCGTTGGCATCGACGGGCTTGTTCAAGGGGTCTTCATCGCAGCAGCACTGGTTCCCCATGCCGCGGCTCTTCAGAGCCGCGTGAGGTGAGAGCACAGGTGCTGGCGATGGCACTTGGTCAACATCAAAAAGTTTCCTGGTGATGGCCATCGCAGTGGTGATGAATGTGGGCTGCAAGGTGTTTCCCTCTTTAAAAGAAAAAAGCTGTTAGTAACGGCCGCGGGTGTTGGACGACAAATGAATGTGGAAGAACATGTCCAGGCACCTGTCCTCATTGCTTTGCCCAATCTGAGTCTTTCTCTCAACTCCGAAGCCTTTCGGGGTCACCTGGGTCCTGAGCAAAGAAAAGGATCTTGGTTTTGCCAGGCTGTGTACATTCGCCACATGTTTTTTTCTGAGAGGTTCTTTCAAGTGTTTTTACGTGCTCAATCAGCTTGTTTGGCCGACTAAACCCTGTGTTTGCACCATTCCCAATGCAAGACACACCATGCGGGAATTCTGAAAACCTTTGGCAGCTTGAGCAAGAGTCATCCCGAGTGCTTCTCGTTGCTGCCTTCGGTCGCCTTCGGTCACCTCACCTGGCTGATCTACCAAAACAAACAAAGTGGACGGTGGGCCAGCATACATGCGGAGAAAAACGTGTTGTTCCTGGAGTCCCCACTTGGCCAGCTGTCTCACATTCTCGTTGCAAGTATTTCAAGATCTTAAAACAACCTCCAACAACAGTAAAACAATAACACTTATAGTAAACGGAACGAACGAAGGCCTTTACACGGCTTCTGCCCTCATGCCGTGTGTTTCTCCCAACTGTGCATGCTCAATCTCGGCCATCGCGAGGCGGAGACGGCCATTGTAGACAAGAAGCGGCGAAGCGGTTCTTCCTGTGACCAGGCAATGGTTCTTTTTTTTAGATCGAAATCCATTTACATAGGCTTTTCCTACAGTATCTACAGGAAAGGGCCTTGAAACAATGCCATGTCTGCCCCTCTGCCACCTTACTTTGAGAACCATTCTCTAGTCACGGGGAACAAATGAAGTGGAACAGGGCCCAACACATGAAATGTTCTCCTCTTCATATCTTGATCTAGTGCTTGGAAAGCAAAAAGCAAAAACACACCAAGACCAGCGTCTTGGTCTTTGTGGTTGATCACACCCACGGGTGAGGCCCCAAACAGGCACCCTAGGCCGACAAAATGCTTGACCTGGTTTTGTAGTTAAAACCCTTAGTAAAACAGTGTTTGCTGGGTAAAAGCCATGATATAAATCAATCGTGGTTGGAAGCCTAGGGTGAAGACATCACCACTGTGGGTCCTGCTTTGTCTGGTTTCTTTGGCAACGACAAAGAATCCAAAACCCCAGGAGCGGCCCGAACATGAAGCAAAAGGATTATACTGGATGCAAGTGTCTTACGATTTGTCGGAGGTATATAAGTGGAAACTGGTTCATCCTATGTAATACCGTTTTGCTGGTGCTATTTTTGGAGGAACCTAATTCCTTTGTCATCAGGGGGTGGCTATGGAGAAAACCATGGGGAAACCATGTTCTGAGCACCCCTGAAAATCTGCAGGAGGGCTGGGTACACTCAGACTCACCCTGGCACTGACCCTGAACACCCAAATGAGATAGGACTAGTGGAAGAAGAAGCAACACAACTGGTAATACATATACGTCCATAGTGTGTATATATATATATAATCATTGTTGAAATGTCAATGTTCACCGGAATGTATTACCAGGAAAGTGGTATGTTTTCAAGGAAAGTCGTATGTTTTTTTTCAATGGAATGTTCAGCCTATATACCAGGTGTTAACCCACATGGAGCTCCTAAGTCAGCTTGGACTCGCGCACTCTTTTCAAGGCGGACGAACACCAACCGTCGGAAAACGCGCCCTACAGGGAAGCACTGCATGTTGCCTGCCGCGCTTTTCAGACAAGTCTAACGATTAGATGTATAATATCTGCATGTGTATGTTGCTTTTCTGATTGTTTCAGTGTTTTTGTGAATTCTAATATACATATATATATATAGTGCCTTTGTGTTGAATTATATACATTACATGCTTTTGCATGAAACCAAACCGCTTAGATGTTGATCCTTGACGCCTTCGAACTGGCAGCCTGCTCTCACTGTTGGAGCTCTACGCTCTTTCGCTTTCGCTCTTGCTCTGTTAAACTCTACTGCTCCCAGTCCTCCCTGCGAACGCGTGGACCTTGGTTCTATGCTTTGTTGGACTGCTGCCTTTCGCATTTCGCAAAGGAACTGCTTGCTTGCTCAGTGTCTATTTTAGCAGCTCCATAATAGCCTAGAGATCGTGGGCAGCCTGCTGCTGGCAGGCTATCCCATCTGTGTCCCTGTATATAGGGTCTCAGTTCAGGTCTCTCAACCTTTCTTGGTAGTTGTCCATGTCTGCAGTCTTTCCACACGACCAAGCGGCAGCAACGGCAGTGGGACCCACTTCCGTGGTGGTCGGATTACTGTCGCTTCGCCATCCCTGAACCCCCAGTGTGGCACCGCAGGTCGAGGGCATGGAACGAGGATGTTCACCATTTTGGGGTTGAATTGCCTGTCACCTCCTTAAGCCTGAAATGGCATGAAGTTTCAGTACAAACCCACGGTTACTCAGCGCCGAACTTGCACACTACACTCAAACCTGCGACTTGGATAGTGGCGACTGGTAACTGGCATTTTTCAGGGACGAGTTCCAAGGATGAAATTGGAGTTCCCAAGTGAAACACTGGAAGAGCCGTTGGGCAATGGGGAATTTCTGGGTCCCAGCTTGGAATGACTCTTGGGACTCCGGGCTTTTCAAAGCACAGATGAAACACGAGCTGCGGCCACATGAACTGCGGCCACATGATCATCGCCTACTCAAAACATGAAGGTGACACTGGAAGAACCGTCTAAGTATGCTCTTCGTTCAAAAAACAACATGACAAAAAACAAACAAGAAAATGAAAAGGCACGAAAATGGATTGAGCCTGGAATTAGTTGAAGACTTGGTTCACAACATGACAGCAACTTCTTTCAGGGCTGGTTCACTACCTGAAAGAAGGATTTGCCACCACCTGGGCTATCAATGTCAGTTCACTGAAGCCCCTTTGGTACTCATGAGATGACCTTTAAAATATCGCATCTTGAGGGCAAGACAGCACAGTGTACCCAGTGTACCCATCCAAAACTCTAGCGCACAGTGACCTCCGTCGGCCATTCCTCGCATTCCTTCGACCCGCGGTCCGACAGCATCAACGCCGTCGACCCAAAAAACAGAAGCGATCGTCGACACCATCGGATTTCATCAGGTGGATTCACCCATATTTGTGGTCCCACGCAAGAAGAAGCACATGTCAATGTATATAGCTCGTTCATGCTCGTTCTTCAATTCGCTGACCAGAAGAGAAGAGGTGACAGACATACTCAGTTTTAGCAAGCTTGTACGTACACTGGTCAAGTTGGTCACCGGTTGGTCAGGCCTAGGGCCTAAGACTGACTCCCGAGCCGTTTCCCAGGAAAATAAAGGCTAACCTTTTTCCACCTACCAGGAGTCACATGTCGGGGTGGTTTTTAGTCCCTAAGTGAGTGGATAATGGGCACCCTAAACCTCCATTAAACACCCCTTTGTGATTGCTGGTAGTCTTGTTTAGTGGGGAAACCACTGACTCCCCAAAATAGAGTTTTTCAGGTTATCCGCTGACTCGGTACATTTCGAGGGAGGTAGCGAGATCCTCAATGATGTTCGACCGGGATGAACATCGGGGTCGATGCCAGGTGATGAAGCGGGCTCTGGGTTTTACTCCAAGGACTTAGTACCCCTTTTCTATCCCCCTCCCGTCAATCGAGGCCGAAAACATGTCGGGCCAGAGATGGTGTTGACTTCGCCGCTTCACATGTCAAGCAAGCCCAGCCATTCATCCTTCTCCGCCTTCTCCGCCTGCGCAAAAAGAAATAGGTCACGGACTCGAAAAGCGGCTTCGAGAACATCAGTCAAAGCTTCGCCTCGTACAAAGCTCCGTACAAGACATACGGGAAAAGATTGGAACGGTAACATGAAACATGAGGATGCTCAGTAAGCCAACCTTCAGTATCAAAAGAACAAACTGTGCATACTGATATGGGTAAGGCAACCTGGTATGGACAGATATTCCTGCAACCTATATATCTCAGTCTCCGAATTGTTATGCAATGGCTCCCTTCCCACCGGCTTAGGGTGTTGTTTCTATCTCCAGTCGTTCGGCTCATCAAAAAGCCCAAAAACACTCCGGAGCCTAACGTGCCGGGGCTAACCTGAACCTGGAA